ATTAGCTATTTTTTATAAAATAAATTAACCTTTTTTTATTAATCTAAATAAAATTTCTAAAATGAAAGTAGCCTAAGTTACTCCTTATAATATTAGCTATCTGAGAGTAAAAGTCCCGTCAAAATCGGTCCAGCCGTTTCAGAGATTATCAAGAACAAACAGACAGACAAAAATTTAAAAAGGAAGAATTTGCTGAAGTTCCATATGTACATTCATATGGGTTTAATGGGTTTAATGAAAAGCTCGTAATTTGGAATTGGAAACAGACACTTCAATTTTATTTGCTTACTAGCTATACTCGCGACTTCGTCCGCGTGGAATTTAATAAAAAAGTTAATTAGAGAATATTTCTCAAATAAAAGTAGCCTAAGTTACTCCTTATTACATCAGCTACCTGCTAATAAACGTCCCGTCCAAATCGGTCTAGCCATTTCAGAGATTAGCCGGAACAAACAGACAGGCAGTCAGACAAAAATAGTAAAAAATGTTATTTAGGTGTATGTACCATATTTATATTTATATGTAGTAAAAACGGTTATTTCAATATTACAAACAGGCACTCCAATTTTATTTATATGTATATATATATATATATATATATAGATATATTAGGTAATATATAAATTTACTGGCAAACTTTAGTGAATAATGAACTAGAACTAAAACTAGTGAAAATGAAAAGTTAACAAGAGTGGACAGTGTGCGATGTTCTGGTACTTAGTATATAGTAGTGTCTTACTTTATACTGTGACTACGATGTGAGGAACCCAACATGGTGATGCTGAGAAGGTTGATGGTACGGAAATTATTTACACAAGTTTTATTTGTGTTCATTCTGTGTGAGTTCAAATATAGTGGACAGCCTCGGCGGTCTAGTGGTGTAGCATACCGCTTTCCTATCCTATGGTCGCGGGTTCGATTCCTCGCACGGTACAAACATTTATATTCATGAGTATGATTGTTTGTATCGGTCTGGGTATTTTTTTTTATAGTAATATCTGCCGTTTTCTTTTGTAGCGACATACTTTTGGCTTATTTTTTTCATTTTAATTATTCTGTACATGTGTTGTTAAATATCCCACTTTGAATATTGTCTCATTATTATAGCTGTTTGGGTATGTTCCGTTGCTTTTAAAAAGGTGAAATAACTTTGGCGCCAAAATGTAAAAAAATACATAATAATATAGAGACCATAAGCGAACTATAGAGAAAAAATATATATTGTCGTATTTATTACTGAAATACAGTTTTAAAAGTTTTTTTTAAGTGATATAATGGTTGAAAGTACCTACAGTACAAGTATTTTTAAGGCTTCAAAATAAAGAAGTATATTGATTACAATTTTTCATTGGAATTCTAGAAAATTCCCTAATTAAACATGTGTTCCATTGTACTTTTTTACTATTATACATAGATAGTAATACAAGCTAATGTAACACTAAATGGAATTGGAATAAGTTTCAGTTTTAATTAAAGATATTTAATATTCAACAGTTGTCAAGTCTACGCGACGAGGTGTCAGGCGGCGAGGGTAAATGGAAACAGCGGCGCAACCACAGCTTCGACCAGAACAGGCACCTCGAGGAGGTCACCAAGGAAAGGTATGATTAGCTTTTTTTAATTACTGTCCCATATTCTATTTTACCCCCTTAAGGTAATATTTTTACAAACTTTATGTCCTAAATTTTTTTTATTATTTCTGTCCCCTATTTTGCTTTGACCCCATATGAGTAAATTTTTACAAACATTCATCTAAAAAAAATAAGTTCAAGCTTAAACTTTCAATGTCCTAAAAATAGGTTTCAATCTTCTAGCTTTAAAAATGACGATACTTCTATACAATCTTTCATCGAGCTTTTTAACCTCTTTTTAGCATTAAAAAGTAGCTTATGTCTTCTCTCAGTATCTAGATTATCTGTGTACCAAATTTCATTTAAATCGGTTGAGTAGTTTTGGCGTGAAAGCACGACATATAGACTGAGTTGCTTTCGGGTATGTAATACACTGCGAAAGTGGAAGGAAGGAGGTCAAGCTGTTTTGTTAATAGATGTTTGTATGGATAAGCTCTTTTTCACCTATTACTACCGCCAGGACGTTTGCTTTATACCTGAAAACAATATATATGTGTTCTGGTGTAATATAGTTCTGAAATTCTACGGTGCAGAGGTCTCGAACTATGGCCATTTAGTGTAATTTGCTAAGGTTTTATGTAGTGATGTACCGGATATTCGTATCCGTATCCGCGGATCTTGAAATCAAATATCCGTAATCAGATCCGTATCCGCGGATATACATTTTATTTTTCACACCCTTAAGTGATAAGGGTTACCCACCCCTAACATTTTTTATAATGTGACATTAAAAAAATACAACAGTTTTAATAGCGATTTTCATTTTTCAACAACGTTTGCAGGGTCAGATAGTATGTATATGTAAATATGTTTGCAGGGATGGCCTGAAGCGCGTGGCAGTGAGCCTGCACCGCGTGGTGGGCCAGCTGGTGGCGTACTGCGCCAGCGCGGAGGACGAGCTCAACCGCACCGTGCTCGCCAGCCTGCTGCACCGCCTCACTGATGCTGACGAGTGAGTCTCCAACCTGTGTCGTTTATTTTAGGGATCATAATGCAATGTTACGAGGATAAGATAAGCATGGACAACATTTTTTTTTAAAAGAATACGAGCTGAGTTTCTTATCAGTTCTTCTCATCTCGAAATCATTCCGAACTGACGGTAGATTTGACATATCATAAGAGTCTGTAATAGACCTACATGAATAAAGATATTTTGAATTTGAATGAAGTCAGGCCAGTTAGCCTATCTTGGCAAGTGGCAATTTACCTCGATGGTTTTCAGCAGCTTCCTACTTATCGACTCTTTAAGATACACCACCGTTCTCACTCGCCGTTCACGGCCTTATGACGCCAGCAGTGTGCGCTAGAAACGACATAATGCTTCCTTCTCGTTCCCACATATATTACAGAAACTTTTTTATTGTACACGGGTAATAATAATTAAAAAGATTTAAAGATACACAAGTACACAACGTATATAATTTGTCTAGCCGTGTAGCATAGCGCTTAACTTCCTGTAGTCGCGGATTCGCGGATACCTTTTAATCTATACATGTAAATAAAATTGGAGTGTGTGTTTGTAATATTGAAATAACCGCTTTTTACTACGTGCATCTGAATATAAATATGGTACATGCACCAAAATATAATTTTTTACAATTTTTGTCTGTCTGTTTGTTTCGACTAATCTCTGAAATGGCTGGACCGATTTTGACGGGACTTTTATTGGCAGGTAGCTGATCTAATAAGGAGTAACTTAGGCTACCATTATTTTAGAAAAATACAGTTAAATTACACGCGGACGAAATCGCGTGTACAGCTAGTCTGGAATATTTATTTTATGAAATCGGAATGACAAGTTGATGATGCTAAGTTATATATTTTCTACTAGAAATATATTACAGTCTGGAATACCCATAACACAAGCTTTAGCTAGCTTAACTTGGGTTTAGATGGCGCTGTGGGAATTGTGTGGGAATCCTGAGATTATTATTATTATTATTTCCTCTACCGTCCAGTTCAGTATTCTGTATACTATGCATATATACAATTGAGAAGAACTGGCAAGAAACTCAACTGAACGAATGTCCAGTTTCGCTGTTATATTCATAATTAATGTTTTAATTAAATAAGGGAACGTGCGTGACTGGTGGTCGGTACTGATATAAGTAAGGGAGAAAGGGGGACAGACTTTTTATAGCAATCTGTGCTTATTTCTACGGGCATAGGGTTGATTTTAAACATACGGGTTCTAATATCGTAATCAGTGCTTATTTCAATTAGCATACGGTTGATATTAAACGACAACATGCGTTCTTGCAAATGCATATACTCGTTACATACTAGTGATTCTTATTTGCAGACCGATACAAATAATCGTATTTATGAATATACATTTTTGCACCGTGAGTTATCGAATCTCGACTATCGCAAGAAAGGCGGCATGCCAAACCGCTAAACTATCGAGGCTATAAAACTGTTAGTAAGTAAATGTTATGACTTTTGCCTAAAGTGAGTTACTAGCACATACTTCTCGGAATGTATAATTTTGGACATAGTAATAGAAAAAAATGAACAATACGAGTGTTCAGAATTAAGTTTATTTGAATATTGTTTTCTCTACCATTAACAGTGTGGATGCTGCTTTACCACAATTAATTGCAGCTATATACGTCCACGTGGGGTTACACGCGAAATTAATAACCTACCGAGTTTGGAAGTGTGCCAATAGTTGTTACTTTACTATTATATGTTCGCACTTCTCATCTTATACGTGTTTGATTTGCTCGCTACTCTCGCCACTATAAAGCAGCAAATACGTTTCAATTATAAAATAAATTAACGGCCTCGGTGAATTAGCGTTTAGCACACCGCTTTACTTCACGGGTTCAATTCCTGGCACGGTACAAACATTTGTATTCATGAGTATGATTGTTGTTTTGGTCTGGCTGTTTTCTAAGTATATTAGGTTGGTATTTACAATTAAAATTTATTTAAGTCCTTATAACACAAGTTCTACTTAGCTTGGAACTAGATGGTACAGATAAAACTCGTAGATAACAGCAATTTTTCTTGCGGGCTACTCTAATGCCGTTGGCCACAGCTGGCTTTTACAACTTCACCGAACAATAATAATAATATTTCAGGACAATTCACACAGCGCCATCTAGTCCCAAGCTAAGCAGAGCTTGTGTTATGGGTACTAGACAACTGATATAAATACATGGATACATTTTTTTTGGTAAATAAACACATATTATACATAGAAAACACCCAGACCGATACAAACAGACATACTCATGAATATAAATGTTTGTACTGTGCGAGGAATCGAACCCACGACCATCGGATAGTAAAGCGGTTTGCTAAACCACTAGACCACCGAGGCTGTCAACAATAGGGGGCGATTCCAGTTGTCAGAGTCGAGAGATGTCACTCCAATGGAGGACTTATGGAGCGGCTGAATACCAGATCCTGCCTGGCGGATACAACTTTAGTCTGAGGGTACCGCTAGGGATCAGAACCTCGCGCATAACAGCTAATTATTTGTTTTATTTTTCCAGAGATGAGGAGTCCCGGCCGTCGACGCCGAATATCTCCACGGACCTCAACACTAGCAACCTGGTACCCCGCGGGAAGCACGTGCACTTCGCGCCCGACCTGAACTCGATCTTATCGGAACTGGAGGAGGACGGCGTGCTTGGCTTCCTGCAGCAGCAGCGCGACCTCAGCGCGGACATACGTCTCGAGCTGGAGCACTCCCTCACCAGGCTCAGGGTGGAGGCGCAGGAACTGCTCGATCTGTCCGCCAAGCTCACCAGTGAGTCCATCAAAGATAATATTAGAAATAGAAATAAACTTTACTCAAATAAACTCAACACTAGCACTTTTGAATAGTTATATTTTTGATTCTACCACTCATTCGGAAAACAGATTCATAACAAGAAGAATGTGCAAGAAACTTGTGTGTTGCTCTTTTGAATAGATGTTTTTGTTTTATATAAATAACTAGCTACTCGCCGCGGCTTCGCACGGGTGTACATGTATTATATATAAAAACCTTCCTCTTGAATCACTCTATCTATTAAAAACCGCTTCAAAATTCATTGCGTAGTTTTAAAGATTTAAGCTTATGTATATAGGGATGGACGGACAGCGATAGCGACTTTGTTTTATAATATGTAATGATAACGATGAATTATTTCCAGAGGGTCGCAATGACTCGAAGATGCTGGAATCAAGTCAAGTGCAGATAACTGAACTGGTGCAGGAGTTGGATGCGCAGCAGCGATGCGACAACTGCGAAATGCACAGAAAGGTACATAACTGGCATATATTATTTATTACTAGTTACTTGCCCCGGCTTCGCACGGGTGTACATGTATTCTTATATATAAAATTCTCGTGTCACAATTTTCGTTGCTAAACTCCTCCGAAACGGCTTGACCGATTCTCATGAAATTTTGTGAGCGTATTGAGTAGGTGTGAGAATCGGCCAACATCTATTTTTCATATCGCTAAATGTTAGGGGTAGTCCACCGCTAATTTTTTTTTTATTTTAAGTCAATACAACGTTTGTCGGGACAGCTAGTATCATATATAAACCTTCCTCTTGAATCACTCTATCTATTAAAAAAACTGCTACAAAATCCGTTGCGTAGTTTTAAAGATTTAAGCATACATACGGACGGACAGACAGCGACAGCGACTTTGTTTTATACTATGTAATGATACAAGTAGTACACTTTATATTTATACGATAGACTTTTGTATTCATAACATTAATACAATAGGTTGTTTTTTAATCTCGGAGACTGAATTGACAGGTGTAAATGTCAGTTCCGATTAATGATAACTACAGCTGGTAACATTATTTAAATATACGGTTGTAATGCAAAAATAGATTCTTAAAAAGTTACACTTATTGCACTTTAAAATTAATCGTCTATAAAAAAAAATACGATTCAACAAATCGGTATTGCAAGTACACCACTACCACTAGCTATTAAAATAATTTGAAAATTTATTCTCCTAAGATTAAAAAACAGATCATCGTAAAAAATTATGCAAACAGAAAAATTACTCAGTGTAAATGTAAATAAGAAAGTGTATTATGAAATATCATTTCGAAATACCTTATTTCTTTATCTTCTTCATTTTTTCATTTACAAAAACAAAATATTTTAATACAGACGATGGAAGAAGCCATGTCGGAGTGCCTCCAACGAGAGAATCTCCTCAGATCGGACTTGGAGGCAGCTATGATGAAGATCGCTCATCTCATGACTGTGGCGGATGGTGTGAACTCCACTGACCTCATTGCAGAGGGGTATGTGCTTTATTTTATACTGGGTGTAGCTTACCACTTCGCTTTATGGTTTACTAGCTGACCCACGCAACTTCGTTTGCATTATTCTTGACATTTATACACATTATAATATATTGACGGCCTCGCTGGTTTAGCACACCGCTTTACTTCCGATGGTCGCGGGTTCGATTCCTCGCACGGCACATACTTTTGTATTCATGACTATGATTGTTTGTATCGGTCTGGGTATTTTCTATGTATAATATGTATTTACGAAAAAAAAAAACATATCTATGTATTTGTATCAGTTGTCTAGTACCCATAACACAAGCTTTAGGTAGCTTAATTTGGGTCTAGATGGCACTGTCTGAATTATCCTGAGATTATTTATTATTTATTTATTTCGCCCAATTTATATGTTATAGCTTATGATTATTTCTGATGTATAAGCTATGTCACTGTAAGGTTTTATCAAAATGCGTTCAGTAGTTTTTGCTTGAAAGAGTAATAGACACCATACTCACAAACTTTCCTATTTATAATATCCCATGATTAAGATATTTTTTTTATCAAAAAGTAGCCTATGTCAATCAAGTGGTAGCAAGTGTTTACATTATTTTCAAGCATATGTCCAGTCGTCTGCATGAAAGCCTATTTGCGTGTGAAGGAACGTACGTGTAAAGGCAGGTATTAAAAGTTAAAGGTTTAATGGGCAAGAGTCCTACAATGTCAGTCCCGTACCCCTCTATAAAGGTGAGCGGTTCTGTATGCAATATTTCCCCTCCGACAAAAATGTATTAACGGTGGGTGCACCGTGTGGTGCAGGTACGGCACTGGGCAGCTGCAGCCGGGGTCGCTGGGCCCCCGCGCTCGGCCTCCGCCCGACCGCGGGGCGCCGCCCCCCACGCCGCCGCCCCCGTCGCCCCCCTCGCCCGCCTCCACACCCTCGCCAGCAGCACGACTCGCCAAAGACCTGGATCTCCTGCAGCGCGAGAGGGACGATCTACATCAACAGGTGATTATATGCAGCAATATTTGTTTTTATGCCAACATCAAATATGTTGATATTTGATAGACATATGTAGTTCATCGTTTTAACACATAGCTAGTTTGATTCTCGCGTGTTACAAATAGAAGTAATGTTATTCTTTGTTAGGGTATAAAATCGAAACAAATAATTGGCAAAGTCGAAAAGAGCTAATAGTTGTACGCATCTTATTACGAGCTTAAGATAAGCGTAAGATTGTAAATGACATTACTTGTGAACGGAGAACGAATCAGAATTAAGATCAGGATTAACATCTAAAAGATCTTAGGAGGTAATTCTGGTCATTAGAATTACCTCTCAATCTCATAAAGACAACTTATTATCTGACAATAAGTTCCAGGATAAATTATCTGTATCTATATATCTACAAGTATAGTAAATCACAAAATTATATATCCTATATTAACACGTATAAAGTATAAAATATATTGTTCACATTATATAATTATATTATTGTTTTGCAATTGGCACATCGCACGCGCAGATTAAACGGATGTCCGATTCACCCGTACATAAGATATGCTGCGAGAAGGTAAACACATGTAACTGCACGTTTATTGTTTGTCCAAATATGTATTTTGAACGCTACGCCTTACATATTAGTGTTCATTTTTGTTGACATTTTTAAATTATCAGATCATTTAACAAATGCAATTGGAAACCATACTTACTCTCAGGCATCACTGTCTTAATTTGTTTGCGTTCGGACATCGGGACCTGGAGTGCCCAATAACAGTGGATTTGAAAAAGAAATAAATTATTATTTCCTAATATGTGCTTTTGCAATAACGAAGAAATTTACGTGTAGTCTAAATTATACTGTATTGTGTTTGTTCGAAAGTTGATTTTAAAGTACATATCAATATTTTGATACGTAAATTTAGGTACTTTGTCATAGTGTAATGCAAGTACAAGTTCAAACATTTATAAACGGCTTTACTAATACAGTGTTAATGTGACAAGGTACAAAATTGTACCTTGTTATAATTTTGTATATAGAGTAAAATAGTAAAAAAACGGGTAAAAATATTTGGACAAACACGTGATGAGACAAATTTGATTGTTGTCGCGGCATGGCTTTCGTTCAGTATAATTTTCTTTGCAGCGCACGTACACAATTGTTTTTTTTTATAGTAAATTTTAAACATTGTTTTGTCTAATTCTGTACAAGCACTTTTAACAGACTTTGTATCATAAATAAAACGTACCATGTATTAATTATTACTTTGACCAAAATATAATTACTCATTTTATATATATTTTGTATGTTTTCTATATATACATATATTGTACTTTAGTAACTTTTCTTTGGTACTACAATATCACAGCTCATTCTATTTAATATACTTGGGACTTTTTGATTTAAAGTGTTTATTTTTTTTCATACATATATTTTATATTTATTAAATTTCTGTAATCATCATTTTCCATAAAAAATATTGTATATATTTGTACTGTTACTTTCGTCAATCCTATTTTTATTTTATTTATTCTTTTTTCAGCGTTTAGATTAGTTCCTATTTAACGAATATTTTGTACAAATTACTATTTATACCTCTAAACAGCTTACTCGGTAAGTTGTGTTCCGGTTGAATAGTGACATATGGCAGTGTAATTACAGGGTATAAAGACATGACACTTTAGTCCTTACAAATGGCAACCCAACCTGGAATCAAGCAAGGATCATAATGTAAGGTTTTAAAGTTAGTAAAATATAATACTGGTATTTTTTTTAAAAAAATCTAAATTTGAATTGGCATGTAGGATATTGGAACGTAAAGTGTGACAGAGATGTAAGATTTATGTGTGTGCGAGCGAGAACAAACGATAGTTGAAAAAATTATGATAAAGAACTCCTTAAATGTGTTGGGTTTTTATTTACAATCAAATCATTTTGTAATATCGGTGGTGTTGTTCAAGTATTAACGACGGTAGTCTATAGTCACTTGGTCCAACAACTTTCTTTCAGTTATTTTATAACTTTGAAATTAACGTATAAAGTGTATCTAAACCTATGATGTGTAATATATATTGTCATGTATGATATAGCTGGAAGCGGCCAACCGTCAACTGCGCTCCACGCGACAATTCGTCGAAGAGCAAGCGACAGAACGCGAGGCTGAACGGGACGAGTTCGCGAAACGTCTCGCTGACCTGCGCGACGAGAACTCCAGACTGGCGACACGTTTGCAGAACAACGCCAGAATTATTAACGAGGTTAGTTCTAGATCTAATAATAATAGTTTATTCAGCATAATTTAATATTATTTTATAGAAAAGAGAAGATTAGTTTTATAGAAAAGAACTACGTTGAAGACCACATTGAAAAATCTTATTTCTCACATAGGGACCGGTATTTTTTTATTGTTAACTAGCTACTTGCCCCGACTTCGCACGGGTGTACATGTATTATACATATAAACCTTCCTCTTGAATCACTCTATCTATTAAAAGAACCCGCTTCAAAGTCCGTCGCGTAGTTTTAGAGACTTAAGCATATATAGGGACGGACAGACAGCGACAGCGACTTTATTTTATACTATGTAATGATTACGTATATTATTTTTTAAATATGTTTTTAATGTACAATAATTTGAGATAAATATTATTTAACTCCTAGATTTATTTCAATTAAAGTGCCCACGGGTGAATATCCGATTCCAACGTATAAATTTACTTTTTTGCGGCCCACCTGTGGGGCTTGCGTTCTTTAACGTGTTAGGGACCTTCAATCAGTTAGTGCCGCAGTGGATGTACTCTATTTTTATGTTCCCTAGCTCACACTAACCGATTAATTAACTTCTCTTAAAGTAAGCTGTCTAAATACAATGTATGGGATGAAAATATCAGTCCGTTAAATATTTAATATATTATTTTAAGATATACTCAGGGGAAACATTCATCGATATTTTACACACGTAACAGCATTTAAAAATAGTCAAGTGTCTAATATAATAAATAGAATAGAATAGAAAATCATTTATTCAAATAAACTTAAATTGAAGCACTTTTTAATACAAACAATTTTTTTCAATCTACCGCTCTTTCTAAGTAAATGAAAACAAGTTATTATAAATTCTTTACTACCTTCAGCTAGTAATAGAAAATGCACAATTGATTAAATTTAAGCTTAGATTGTGGAATGAATTACCTGATGAGGTTTTCTCTAAAGACTACAGCGTGGTGTTTTACAAGATGTTAAGGTTTCTTTAGGGTTGGCAACGCGCACGTGACACCTGGTGTTTCAGGCGTCAATAGGCTACGGTAACCATTTACAATCAGATGGGCCGTATGCTTGATTGCCCTCAACATAATGATAAAAAAAAATAACATAACCTAATCTATATTATATCATGGTATCTACATCTGAGGAGGAGTTATCAATTGGTTTTTATTATTAACAAAATGTTTTTGTATATTTCTTTTCATCTGTTTATTTTTAAAACTCAATTTTGTTTCCTTTAAGTAAAGCTTATTCGCTTGTTATTAAGATTCTTATTTGCTTGTGAACACAGAAATTCTTATTCTGTATTTGCTAAATAACAGACGTTTTAATTATTAATGTTTCTAAGGACTGTATTTTTAATATATTTTAATTTTAGTTACAAGGGAAACTACGCGGTCGCTGATGGTAAAAGACATATATTTCAAATTGACAATAAAAATGGAACGAAACATAAAATATTTAAATATATATATAAAAATATATAGTTATCATATATAAAAAGGTGCGTTATGCACAATACGAGAATAACAAGAAAAACTGATACAATTATCAATATTGGCCGGCAGATGTTTTTAATACAAATAACAAGAATTTGATTGATCCCAATGAAATAATTGATGGTTGTTGATATTTCGCTTGTATGATACATTGGCTGTGTATGTTTTTACTGGCGTACCTACAGAACAAAGTATACGCGAGAGAGGCGCGCGAAAAATGTCACCATTATTTTTTATGTCAATGTTATTTTCTTTAGAAGTACTAGAACTTTCTTTACTATTTACTATTTCTGTACTATTACTTTGTTTCTAAATAAACGTTTTTTAAGGTTGTAGTTTTCGGATAGTGCAGTTAAGACAATGTGTTCACTGGTGAGATAATATAGTAATTAGTTTTAGGGTACAATGGGACTGGCTTTTAGATTGTACAAGGCCCTGAATATTAAAAGAAATAAAAAAGGTTGTAGTTACGGTACTGTATATATGTATGTCTTATTGTATATGTCCTATTCACAATTTGCGCTTTTTTATAGAACATTATAAACGTATTTATGGTACGTAAAAAATTACGGTAAAATTAATATCATCGTTTTTGGAGTTGGTTAATAAATATCTACCTGTTATATGTTGAATATAATTTACAAATAGAGAATAACAAAAAAGTATGTTTGTTTGTAAATACCAGGGATTTCGGATACGGATAGGTTTTGGATATAGGAATGATTATTATACCGGATGCGGATATGAAATTATTTCGGATTATCCGTTAGTTTCGGATAATTTCGGTTACGGATATAATTTTTTTAAGGAAATTCCGAAGTTAAATACAAATAACTAATAAAATGGTTACATAACGTGTCCCAATTAGGCCCCGCCCCTATCCGATATCATCTGTAACTTTTATTTCGTATCCCTGGTAACTACTAAACACTGTACTGCCTGCTTGTAAAATGCACAGACTCTGCTAGTCACTAAATAATTAATAATTGAAATAAGTAAAAATAATAATATATATTTATTTATTTTGACTTATTTCTATTTTATTTGTATATATGAAGGTGGATGTAGACTATAAAACAAAAGCTACATGTAAGATTACACCGAAGTAACAATATATATAAAACTTGGTTAACATGTTTTCTCATTCCGTTTACACTGCAAATGTAATTTTAAATCTACCTTTATTTATATAAAACTTAGAGTTGATAATGGAACATGTTAAAGATTAAAACTAATATGATTTAGTATATAGCACGCCTAATTTTGCAAAACCGACTATAAGGTTTTGGTTTAAGGTCTAATTTCAAAAAACAGAAACGCTTTGAGTTAATGCAAACCGCATTAACTCAAAACGTTTCTGTATTTTTTTTAATTTTAAAGTAATATATGTTCTGTTATTAACACTCGCAGATATTGATGGAATAGATCTTCGCAACTTTCTACTTTGCATGTCAATTTTACGAACTAAATTTTTTGAAGACCATTTTGGAACTCAAATGACGTACTTAGAGGTTATGTACTATATATGTGGCATTAAAAAAAGATTTGGTACATTTATAGTAATGCGGTCAGAATTCGCATTACTAACAATCGACTTGCAAAATAAATTTTTATTTATAAATAAAATTTGTAAGTTATTTTTTTATAAATATATTACAAAATTGTTGAAAGTGTGTTTGTAATTTATAGTAATTCTTTTATATAACAATTATTTCAAACGATGACTTCTAAAATTTTAAACGATATTAATTCTCTAAAAATTTTTACCCGATTTAGATACTGTAAAATCTTTTCTTCTCAAATTTGTAAAGAAAATGTTATGAATAATATTTTACGGCGGAAGTGAGTTTTATAAGAATAAATAGTTTTAGTAACATCGTTACTGGAATTTTTAATGATGACACGCTTAGTTACCATATGAGATGCTTGCGAATCTATCTCCATCGCTATCTATCTAACACTGAAGCAGCACAATTAACCACTGTGCACGTAGCGTGTTTACGTGTGGTGTTGGCAACTAACACGGTGTCCACAGATGCAGCACCGGCATGCTCGCGGCCGCGCCCACCATCACCACGTGAGTACCACGCTTGTCACCACCTACCACCACGCACCACGCATGCCCACCCTCGCATGTCTATATATGTTACTCTATCTATATGTACATAGCCACCTATATATGTATATATACGATATTCTATTTATACGTATATAGTCTGATTCTAGAATTTTCATACAGCTCTAAAAACAGTGGCAAAATCAGTACAAACAGACAGTCTTATTAAACTTTGACGCTTAGTACACGTTATTAATATAGTTGAACGAGTTTTAACACGAAGAATTTTATGGTAAACTAGCTACCAGCCCTAACTTCACACGGGTGTACATACATTATACATATAAAACTACCTCTTGGATCACTATATCCATTATTAAAATCTGAATTAAAATCTGTTGCGTCGTTTAAAAGATCTAAGTAGTACTAGTACACACAGTAGAAACGACTTCATTTTATACGATGTAAAGATTATTTAACTCTTTCGACGTTTCAACCTTAATTTATAATAAATTATTTCATGTTAAAACCAGTTTAACTATATTAATAAACAGCCAGTTTCCTATATCATTTCCTAGATCAACGTGATCTAGGCGTATAAGGCACCGTGTACGCAATTAAAAGTCAAATTAATTTATTACTATGGTACATTTTTAAAGCATTTGTAAGAATATCAACAGTTAATATCGAGTATATCGCCACTGATTTTATGACTGTGTTTAGACGTTTTTAGTCTATTTAGCTCTTATTTATATATATAATATTCTATTGTAATTGTGCCTACAATAGAATATTGTTTGTAGTGAGATATTAACCATTAACACTTATAAAAACTATAACTTATTTTTACTATTTGGAGTGCTTTGTTACTTTCTGTCTAATTAAGAAAATACCACAAAAGAATAGGACAGAACATTTCAATAGCTAAAATGTGTTTATAAGACGTGTGGTATATAAATGCTGTACATACATATATAGAAAAGTAGATGAAATTTACTTAAATTGTCCGTAGTTATGAGTATTCAATGTTCTTTTATTTTATTCATACATAAAATATCAGATATTGAATACTGGTATTTTTAGGGTATCTTTTGTATGTCTATCTTTAGCGTGTCTTTTGTAAAAATAAACTAGTAAATTTAGTTAGGTTATAATTTTATTGTAAACTGCCGAGACGAGGTCGCCTGCATGTTATTATATTAAAAAAATGTTATTTACATTGGTTCAAATAGATCAGTTTGTACATCTTTATTATGATTATAATTTTTATTTTAGATAGCAATACAAATATTTGTACAAATATAGTATTTGTAGTCTACTTTAATTAATTCATTATCATTTGGTGTATCATTTTAGTTTAATTCTATATTTTGTGTTGATATTATTTACACTTTAATATATTTTACAAGATACATGGCAACATTGAAAGAGGTTTTTACAGAACATCCAATTTGTATGGGCTTTAATGAGGACTTTTATCTCGCGAATCAAGTGAATCCCAATGATTCACTTCATCATTGGGATTATTTCATAAAAATCAGAAAAGCGAAATATTACTAATTTTTTTACTGACATTAACTCTGGAACTTCTAAAGTTGTTGACATATTTGTGTAAATTTTCGCCAAAGAATTCAGAAAATCTGCTCTGCCTATAAAAACAATCATTGAACACGGGAAGCCACAGAAATTGCTAAATTAACATCATCTGTAAATGATTTAATGAACATTGAACATATTTTTTTTATTCTATCCTGCAGTTTAGAGGCACTTCGTATAACGGAATAAATTCTCTCTTTAACAGGTCGAGCAACTTGAAACCCAGACCCGTGAGATGAACCAAATCATAAACGATTTAGAAACAAAGAAAGCTGCTTCTGATGAAGAACTTAAAGCTACAGAGGAAAAGATTACTCTGCTCAGAGATATAATAGGAAACCTCGAGAATCAGCTGGAACAGAAAACTGCGCACGAAGCGGAGATATTGCAGCAGTTGGAGGAAATGAGAAAGACGATAGATGAGAGGGACGGCAGGCTGAGGTCCCTACTGGGGGAGCTGGAGTCGATGAAAACAGAGAAAGCGGATCAGACGGAGGTCACGTGTGTACAATGTGGACAGGAGGAAGATAGATATGCGGAACTGCTGGAGAAGGTTCAAGAGCAGGTTGGTATTTCATACAAATTGGTACTTTCACTATTATAGCATATGGATATAGATTAGAATATGTACACTGAGAATAAAACATCCGTAGTACCTAGACTAATACAATCTATTATACTCATTAACATAAATTGCGAGGAATCCAAACAATGGCCATCGGAATTAAACTGGTGTGCTAAACCGCTAAAAATATTTATGTTTCGACAATTATTTAAAAGAGCAACACGCAATTTTTTTGTCCGTTCTTCAAATGAGAATTTTCCGAATGAGTTCTTTCTCTGTCTGCCAAGCCTTTTCCCATTTCATTTGACAGCGGCTTTTTCTAGTCATTCTTCGCCAGGCACATCTGTCCTGGGTCGAAGAGTCGTTTATTTCAGTTTACTTAGGTCGTTATTGATAACCAACTGCTAAGCCAGTAGGGGTTTCCACGTCTCTTTGGGCCAGTGTTAAAGTTCAAGCCGTTTTGGTCATATAACTCTCTTCTCGTCTCATTACCTGTGGCCATATAACCTCAGCTTTGTCTCGGCGAGTTTGTCTTCGGTGGGACGAATCATAAAGCAGCCGAGAATATGGTTATTCCTGACTCTGTGTAACAAGCTGAGTTCACCTGCTCATCTTAATATTTTCATCTTGATCGTATGCTTTTTGTTGACCTAGGTCAACATTCAGCTCCATATAGAAAGGCTTTTCGAATGAACGGTACATTAAAAAGAATAAGTATTGTTCGGGTTGTACCGAAACTATAAAGATTCTGATAGGTAAAACTGATAAATGATACTGATAGAAACTTGATTAAAACTGTATATTGAAACTTAAAATATAACTAATTAATGATTGTAATGAGTACGCGCGGCGTCCTTGATGACCGAATGCGAACTGATTTTAATGAAATGTGAAATGTAAAATAAAATGTTAATGTTGCGAAATAATGTACGATGCTAGCTCGTACATATTCCCGGGCGCGAAAGAAGATGTGAATGGGGATGCTGTGGTTGTGACCTTAATTACTACTTACAAGATGATGTACAATTGTTTCTTACAGATAGCATGCTAATGATTTTGTTAGTAAGTCGAATGATTTAACAAGATGATATAATACAATACACGAAGGCTTATTCTACACACACACGCGTTAGGGATGGCGTACACTGATCTTAGCACAGACGATGTGCTTCTGTTTTGCTCTAAGACACGCGCACTTTCTCTCGTATTCACTGATATCACGGGCACTACACTTATTTTCTACACAGACACACACACTAACACTAACACTAACACTGATCGATGGCGGGGGAGCGCCCGGCTCCACCGCCGCTGGCACCATAGGCGCCCGCTTGCAGCGCCACCATCCAAGAACTGGAAATCCGGTCACTATCATAGCAACTGAAGCCATCCTAATTTAATTACTAAATTGAGGACGAAAATGTGGTGAAGTTGCTTTATTTTCCACGCACAATTTAGGACGTCCAAATGTCTTTTTGACAGTTTGATAGACTACACTGTCACATTCACTAACACTATCACTGTTTGCTGTTTCCATCGCACGGGGTTGGGGCGCGGGAGAGCTGGCCATGCCAACCGCCACAGTCGGCGATGCTGTGCTCGTCGAAGGGACCTTCCAATTGCGTAATCGACGCAATGTATAGATTACGCCGACTAACACCATCACGGCGATAATTATATAAATTAAAGTATAGTGATGTACGTCATGATAAGTTATGTGATCTGATAGTACGGGTTCGTTCTCTTTCATGAACTTAATTCTTTCTCCAATTTCTGTGAGTTGCTGACTTTCCGAATTCGATATGTCATTCCACTCGTGATGAGGAATAGATATGTTAATGATGTGGTTTATCGGTGCGACTGTGGGTGAGTATATATCTGGTGATATCTTTAATTTATTTGAATGCTGATAATGTGATGTAACAGTGAAATTATCGGTTTTGACGATGCATCCACTGTCTATAGTGCTCAATCCCGCATAAGTGAGCATATGTACGGTAACCTGATCTCCACACATTGCTCGTACTTGACACTGATTGCAACAAAAATAAATATAATTATTAAGTTCATTGCTTTCTTCCCACATATTTTCGCATTTGCTAGTGATCGTTTTGCAAGTGGAATTTTCTGATTCACAAAATTCTTGATTTGTATTAATTTGATATATAGGTTTTTTAATATAACATAAATGTGCATCTACAATAAGGCATGATTTTATATCGAATTCCGACATTGTGATATATGTATCTTTCTTCAAATTTATAGCTATGTATTTTGAGATGGGTATAATTCTGATCATTTTGTTTCCTGTAACTTTCGGTATTGAGAATAAACTGAAAATCTCGAATGAATCTCTGCTAATTAGCGGTAGTCTTATTTCAAATATGAGGTATGATTGTAACATTCTTGCTTTAACTTTAAGTAATTTATATATTTGAGTGAGGTCAGTATGTATGCTTTCTGTTGGTAATATGACGTCATTAGACAAATGACTCGCTATAATGCTTAGTTCTTTCTGTAATTGTTCTGGTTGTAGAATATGAGGGTTAAATCGGCCATGATATAGATCTGTCACTGTATCTAAGATAGTACCTTGTAAGGTTTTCATATTGCTGAGTAAGTTGCTTGCAATGACTGATGCTAAGGTAAACTGATTTACTATGAAATTATCTTGTGTCTCACTTTTTATGGTACTAATTTCGCGTTCTAAACTTATAATATGTTGATTTATCATTTTATGTTGCTGAGTCATAGTATTTTCTGTTCGCTTTAAGATGTTATACTCAGCCTCCATGATCGATGTTTGATTTTTCCAGAATGATGTTAATTTTTTCTGATTGTCTCGTAGTAAAGTAATGTCCATTTCATACTTTTCGGCGAATCTTTGATCCAATACTCCGAATAGGGAACTGGCGATGTAACCGACACCGTCGATAAGACCGCGGCGACGCCGCCTTGCGGATTGCACCTGCTCGTTATAATGCTGACTGAGCAACATATGATTGTAGTAATCGAGTTCATTGGACCCGTGGCGTAACTGTAGTAGTAATGTGTCGCAGTGAATTTGATATCGTATTGTTTTGCATGTTTCTTCCAGCGACTTTGTATATTTTTCAAGAGCACTTATTCCTTCCCAATAAGGTTCCATGTTGTAGTAGATAATGAGTTTCCATTCATCTCGTATGATTTTCATGCTATTTAATTTATCGAAGAATAAAGCTTGATTTTTAGAAAATGTGGTAAAGTTGAATGTTGCATGTGTATTGGATATGATAGATAAGAATAATAGTAGTGATGTCGCTAATGTTAATAAGCTGAATACCCCTTTTCGTCTTTCTCGCTTAGGTTGATTTTTTAAAGTTGATTCCTGAATTTCTGTTATATTTTTCTGGTTTTCAATCTGCTCTGTGTTTACAGGTAGTAGTGATACTTTAACAATGGGACGTTTTATAATTCCATTTTTAGTTTTAAGTGTGACTACTCTCACGTGTCCGTCACTACCTGGGTGCACTTCAACTACGCGACCTATAGCCCATTTCCCCGGGGGTAGATTTTCATCTCTGATTACTACAATATCATTATTTTTTATATTCTGTTGAGGCTTTCTCCACTTACTTCTGGCTGCTAGTTGAGTAAGATATTCATTACTCCATCGATCCCAGATATCTTTAAATATTTTTTGTGTTAGATGCCATCTTGTTCTTAAGTCATTTTCTGTTTCACAGATGTTTAAGGTGGGACCACTTCCTAAAAAATGAGAAGGTGTAATAATATCTAGATCATTGGGATCTTCTGTCATAGGACAAAGAGGTCTTGAATTTAAACATGCCTCCAAGTGGGAGAGCACCGTGCTATATTCCTCAAACGTAAGTTTCTGTTCGCCTACTACTCTCTTAAGATGATATTTTAGGGTTTGTACTGACCGCTCCCATAATCCTCCTGCCGAGGGCCACGCAGGAGCGTTAAAATGCCATTCTATACCCATGTTTGTTACTTCTGACATGAACTCCTTGCTAAATATTTCTGTTAAATGATTATACTCCTCCTGTAATATTCTGTTTGCCCCAATAAAATTTGTTCCTTGATCACTGTAAATGTGACGGGGTACGCCTCTCCTTGCCGCCATCCGTCGCAACGCAGCTAAAAATGCAGACGTTGTCAAATCTGATACAAGTTCTAGATGTACTGCTTTCGTAGACATACAAACAAATACTGCCACATATCCCTTTGTGGTCTTGATACCACGGCCCTTGTTGGCTTTAATTAATATGTGACCTGTATAGTCGACGCCTGTATGTAGAAATGGTCGAGAACGATTGGTGCGTGCAGGTGGTAAATCTCCCATAATTTGGTACTGTTGTTCTGGACTTTGTCTCCTACATTTTACACAGAGACGTAGTCGTTTTTTGGTAGCTCGAATTCCACCTACAAGCCAGTATTTACGCCTCATAATTGCAGTTGTTAAACGAGCTCCGCCATGATATGTCAGCTCATGTGCTTCGTCAATCATGAGGTCCGCCAATCTTGTGTTACTCGGAATGATCGCAGGATGTTTTGTTTCAAGATCTATATTGGCATGTCTCAGTCTACCACCAATCCGAAGTATACCGTTTCCATCTAATATTGGATTGAATTCGATGAGTTTACTGTTATTTTTTAAGCACTTGTTTGCTTTTAAAGCTTTCACTTCCTCAAAAAATTCTTCTCTCTGCACTTCTTTAATAATTATTTCTCTAGCATCCTTCAATTCCTGTATAGTTAAATAATGTTGCTTATTTTTATTTTTCCTATTAATAAATCTTAAAATCCATCCTAAAATATTTACTGCTTTACTTAGTTTACTACATCTAGTTAATATAATGCTTATAATATCGTTTTTCGGGTATGGTTTTATTACAGTCATTACATTTTTATTTTTTAATTCCTGATTTGTTGTATAACTTGTTATATTTTTCTCCTTAGTAGGCTGATATGTAGGTAACCACTTTGGTCCATTCCACCAAAGCGTATGTTCTCGAAGCTGAGATGCAGTGAGACCACGGCTAGCACAGTCAGCCGGGTTTTCTTTCGATTGAACGTAACTCCAACACGACGATGGCATAATTGACGTGACTTGTTTCACACGGTTGGCTACGAATGGTTTCCATCTATCTGTATCTCCTTGCAACCAACCTAAAACTGCCATCGAATCTGTCCAACCATATAATTTAATATTACAATTATTAAGACCTGATTTGATTTTTGTAATTAATTTGGAAAGTAAGACGGTGGCGCATAACTCTAATCGAGGTAGAGATGTGTTTTTATTTAAAGGTACTACTTTCGCCTTTCCGGCTACCAAAATAATTGTTTTATTTACTCGGCAATAAACAACGCAGGCGTATGCTTTTGTGCTCGCATCACAAAATCCATGTAACTCTATGCACTCATTTTCCTCTGTATGTAGCCACCTAGGCACCTTACAATGCTCTATCGAGTTTATATCTTCTTTGAATTTACACCATCTCTCCCAAATTTCATTAGGTACCTGTTCATCCCACTTTATGTTTGATTGCCATACATCTTGAAATAATATTTTTAGTGTTGTAGTGACAGGTGACAACCATCCTAATGGGTCGTACAGTTTAGATATATTTGATAAAAGAGTGCGCTTCGTGCGTTTTAAAGATGTCGCTTGTAATAAACTTGCTGAATTAAAAGTAAAAGTATCTTCTCCCGGGTTCCATTGAAGCCCAAGGGTCTTTGTTGACTCCGCTTGTTTGAAGTTAAAACTCTCCTGATTTTTGCTGTTGTTTTCTTGATCTAATAACTCAGACAAGTTTGACTTCCACTTCCTTAAATTAAATCCACCTGCTTTTAAGAGATTAATCATATCTTGTTTCAATTGTACTGCTTTCTGTTTAGAATGAGAGCCATGAAGAAGATCATCCATATAGAAAGATTCTTCTAGAATTTGTGGAGCGGAACTGTTGGGGTAGTGTATTTTTTCATCTTGCGCTAGACGTTTAAGTGTCATCATGGCGAGAAATGGCGCGGCCTTAGTCCCGTATG